AGGGGTTTAGGGTTTCAGGGTTTAGGGGTTTAGGGATTTGGGGTTTTAGGGTCTAGGGGTGTAGGGGTTCAGGCGTTTGGGGCTCTTTGCGCTTCACAAGCTTGGATGTCGAGCGGCTTCTTGTGCCGGATGCCCCTTGGCTTCAGGAGTTTATTCCTCCCATGGACTTCCACAAGCATGCTTTCCAGGATCTACACCCTGAATGAACATAACCCTGCTTCTCTACGATTCTATAGAGGCCCCTAAACTCTAAACCCCAAACTTTCAGCTTTAAAAATTACCTTTACAACTACCCAGAAACCTGCAACCGAAGCCCTACGCCCCAAACCCTAAACCCCTCAACCCCTAACCCCAGGCCAGCCCGAAACCCCTCAAGCCTTAAACTCCTAAGCCCCATAAACCCTAAACCCTGAACCCTAAAGCCTAAACCCTTAAACTCCCAAGCCCCTAAACCCTGAAACCTAAACCCTAAACCCTAAAGCCTTAAAGTCCCTAAGTCCTAACCCAAAACCCTAAAGCCTAAACCCTAAAGCCAAAGCCTGAAAGCCCCTAAGCCCTACACCCCCAAGCTCCTCTGCTAAGCCCAAGGAGCCTCAGCCTCAACCCGCCTTTAAGGCAACCCTTAGAGTCCCAAGAAGGCCAAGCCCTCAGCATCTACGGGGTTAGTAGGGTTTTAGGGCTCAGGCTTTAGGCTTTAGGCTTAAGGTTTAGAGGGTTTAGAGGGTTTAGAGGGTTAGGGTTTAGAGGGTTCAGGGTTTTGAACCCGCAGTCCCACAACTGGAAGCGCCCCAACTGGCCCCCAAAGCTCCACATCCGCGGCCTAAGCCCTCAAGCTTCAATCCTGGCCCCAAAACTCCCCTAAACCCCAAACCCTAAACCCTGAACCCCAAGTCCCAATTCCGAAACCCTAAACCCCAAACCCTAAACTCTAAACCCCAAGCCCCAAACCCCAAACCCCAAACCCTAAACCCTAAACCCTAAAGCCCAAACCCTAAACCCTAAAGCCCTAAAGTCCCTGAGGCGAGTGAGGAGGGAGCCCCTGTCCGATGCCCAGCGTAGAACAGAGCTTCGAGTCTTTGGCGTCGTAAAAGAAGGGTTTAAAGTAATTAGGGCTTGGGGTAAAAGGGGTTTAGGGTTTAGGGGTTTAGGAGTTTAGGGTTTAGGGCCTAGGGTTTAGGGTTGAGGGCTTGGGGTAAAGGGTTTAGGGTTTAGGGCCTGGGGTTAGTAAAGGGTTTGAACTTTCAACGAGGTCTTCTGTTGCTAGTCGTTTACGGGTTTGTAGCCTTTCTGTTTTTCTTGTGGCTGGCCCGCTGGACGGGCAGATTTGTGCGAGCTTGACTGGGAGGGCTAATTCTTAAGTTCAGGTCTTCGCCTTTTTTGGGTATCAGCCGCGAGCCCCAATTTTTGTGGACTCAACCCTCCACCCATAAACCCTAAACCCTAAACCCTAAACCCTAACCCCCTAAACCCTAAACTTCTCAAAATTTAAGATACCCTAAACCTTAAACCCAAAACCCTAAATCCCTAAACCCCAGACCCTAAACCCCTAAACCCCTAAACCCCTAAACCCCTAAGCCCCTAAACCCTAAGCTTCTCAAAATTTTCAAAACGGCGTTGCAGGCCATCCTTTTGGACCTACAGCGGCGCCTGGGCCCAGTGAAGGCCCCTCGGGGCTTGGAGAATCGAGGTCTTAAACCCTAAACCCCTGACCCCTAGACCCCTACCCCCAAACCCCAAGCCCTGAGCCCTAAACCCTAAACCCTAACCCTTAAACCCTCAACCCTCAACCCTAAGCCCTAAGCCCGGAACCCTAAACCCTAACCAAACCCCTATCCACCCGGAGAGCCGACGGCCTTTCAGCCCCAGTAAGGAGCTAGAATCTCAACGGCCCTCGTGTCTGTGGGATGAGAACATCCCCAAATCCTTAGCCTTGGGTTTCGGGATTAGGGTTTGGGGTTGAAGTGTTTAGGGTAGGTTGAGCATAGTGTTCCAACAGTTCCAACTTTATGGCTTCTACTATAGGGGTTTAGGGTTTAAGATTTAGGGTTAGAAGCTTAAGGCTTTCAGATTTTGGGGTGTAGGGTTTCGAGCCCACCGGGTGCTCTTCGACGGACGAGTCTTCTAGGGCAAGGGGTGTGCAGAGCCAAGATGTAAGATTCGCGTTCCTAGGCAAGCGGAGGGGTCAGCCCAAGGTTTCAAGCCTAGGATTCCGGCTTAAGGCTGACGGTTTGAAGCTGATAGAATCCGGGTTCAATTTTTTATTTGTGGGTTGTTTGGTTTCACTGCAGCCTCGGTTCCTTCTTCCCCAAACGGCGTGGAAGCACTACGGGCACAACGGGGTTCACAGGTTCAGGGTAGAGACTTGGGGGTACCGTAGCCGGGCAGCGCTCGCGTTAAAAGCGTACACCCCCCACGGCACATCTCCTCCTGTGGTGAGGAGCAGTTTTTATGTTATCCGCATCCTTTAATGGTAGAGCTTCAGGGGTTTCGGGTTTAGGGTTTCAGGGTTTAGGGTTTAAGGTTTAGGGCTTTAGGGTTTTAAGGGCTTCAGGGGGCTTTATCTATTGTTTATGGAGGGTTCGCTGGAAGCCATTTCCCGGAGAACTGGATTCATTGTAAGCGCCACTAAGCCCCAAACCCCCTAAACCCCTGACCCCGAAACCTGAACCCCTAAACCCTTTTTCCCTAAATCCCTTAACCCCTTAATCCCCAAAACCCCCGAAACCCTTAAAGAAACCCCCTTCAACCCCAAGCCCTCAAACCGGTTTAGGGGTCAAGAGGTTTGGTGTTGAGGGATTTAGGCCATTTAGGCCCCTCCGAAACCCGTAAATCCCCTCAGCCCCTAGCTTCTTTACCCCGAAACCCTTCAACCCAAAACCTTAAACCCTGAACCTTAAACCTTAAACCCTAAATCTTAAACCCTAAACCCTATAAGCCTTAAGCCCTAAACCCTACACCCCCAATCCGTTAAACCCGAAAACACAGAGCAGGTGATCCCCCAATTGGTCCAAAGCTGGATGTTGCCCGTGCACCCTAGATGCAGGGTTTAGGGTTTAGGGGTTTTGGGGTTTAGGGTTCAGGGGTTCGGGTTGAATTAGGGTTCAGGGTTTCGGGGTTTAGGGTTTAGGGGTGAAGCGCTTGGTGAGGGGTTGAGGGGCTTTGGGATTTCACTCAGCTTTTGGGTGCTCGCTTCCGGTCAAGCGCTTCCGGCGCGGGTTGAAAGTTTACACAGAGTCGACGGTGTTGGAAAACCTTTGTAGCGGTTTGGGATGGTTTTTTTGCCGTCTTGTTGATGACCCATGCTCACGGTTCTTCTGCCGCCGTGGCTTTCTGGAAGATTGGGGCAACCGGAGCACTCGTGCATGGTCTTGATTAAGGGCTTTCTGAAATTGTAACTTGATTTGTGGACTTTTAACTTCAACATGGGGGTGAGTTGGCAATCAGCCCTAAACCCCCACCTCCCACAACCGTAGGCTCAACATTCAAGCCACTATCCAAAGGGCATCCGTAGGAAAGAACGCAGGGTTGATGGGGCTTACAGGGTTTAGGGCTTCCCTAAACCCTGCGTTTTGCGTGTTTAGGGGCTTAGGGGTGGCTTAGGGTTTAGGAATTTAGGGATTTAGGGTTCGGGTATGCTACACACACACACACAGGTGCTGGGACTTAAATGGCAGAAAGGAAAGGCTCAGGGAAGTCAAGCATTGATCAGTCTTGGGCTTCTGGGAAGCTCACCCTGAGTGGTTTCGAGATATCTTCCATGCATAGCCTGCACTTTGCTTTTCGGGTGTTACTTAGTATTACGTAGCAGTAGAGTAAGTAAGCTTTACCATTTGTGGAGAACTAGACTCCCTATATAATCCCCAGTAGCTTCCCCCCAAACCCGACAGCACGAAGGCCTAAGCCCTAAACCCTACATACCCTGAACCCTAAATCCTAAGACCCTCAAGCCCTAAGCCCAACACCTTATCAACACGAAAAAGCACTACACCCTAAACCCCAAACCCTAAACCCTAAGCCCTAAACCGTAAGTTGAGTCACATGCAAGCAGAGTCACAGCGAGGCGGCCCCTGGAGCTATCGAGCCCCTCGCCGGCAGTGATGAGATGGGCCCTAAACCCCCAAATCCTAAACCATGTGTTTTTTTTGAAAAATCCCTAAGCCTTAAACCCAGCCGTAAGGCCTAAACCCTGAACCCTTAGACTTAGACCCTAGGCCTCTACCCCCGCTGAGGGTGGCACTGCCTGAAGAACTGGCTCCTCCATGGAGGCTGGCCTTCAAGGTGGGCTGCCGCCTTGCAGGGCTTTAGGGTTCAGGAGTTTATAGAAGCTTAGGGTTTAGGGTTTAGGATTCTAGAAGTTTAGGGTTTGGGGTTTAGGGTTGTAGAAGTTTAGGGTTTAGGGTGTAGGGTTATAGAAGCCTGGAATAGCAATCAATGTTATCAATACTATTCCTTAGGGTTCCTATTTTACTTATGATGGTATAAATGATGTAACTCCAAAGCCCTCCCCTCTAGTAGAACGTAAGCCCCCGAACCTTCAATAAGCCTTTTCGGGGTTCCTGTTAAAGGATTTAATTGAAGTTACCATAATAAAGAAACCATATTATTTACTATAGATGCCCATGATGGTAGCTTAAAGAAAAATCCTGAAGAAGAGCCCAGCTTTCTAGAACCCGGAACGAGCCTAGGCGGGGTAGTCAGGCCCCTTTTTTGGAGTCCGCCCGTATACCCCCTTGGTCGGCCTCAGGGCATGTTTGGGCTCGCGGTGTCGGGGTTTAGGCGTCAAGGGTTCAGGTGTTTAGGGCTTTGGGTTTAGGGTTCAGTTGTTTAGGGCTTTGGGTTTAGGGTTTTCGGGTTTAGGGCTTTGGGTTCAGGGTTTAGGGCAGTTTAGGGTTTGGGGGTTTGGGTTTAGGGTTCAGGGTTTGATGCATCCTCTGCATGAACGGCCAGCTTTATTGGGTTACCAGCGGGTTAGGTAGCCGGCATAGAGGCCAGTCTCCGCCATGGCGGTCGTGCCTACGAAGCTCCGCGCGCCGCAGAGCGGGGCCTCCATGCCAGTCAGTGGAAGGGAGACGATGGCAAAGCCCGTCGCAAGGGACACCATGGCAAAAGCACAGCTCATCGCAGATGAGGATGTAGAGACGGCGGAAGGCTCCAGTGAAATCAGGAGCCTCGGCTTCTCCGACTCCCTGAGTCCTGAAACCCAAAATATCCCCCCAAAAAACCCACCCTAAACGGTTTAGGGTTTAGGGTTTTGGGGTCCCAAAGCCCCATGCAGCAGAGGAGTATGGCTCCTTTGCCTGGGGAGCGGGATCATCACTGCACCGACCCTTTCTGGATTTTGCTTCTTCTCGCGGCCTTGGGCGTGCTGTATGTCCCCGTCACGAAGGCCGGGCGGTCGGGCTCCTCCTGTTTCAGGGTACTTCAGTTCTAAGCTACCGCACAGTAAGGATACATGTACATGCATATGTACATACATACATACATACATACATACATACGTACGTACATACATACATACATACATACATACATACTTGCATGCATGCACACATACAACCACGAGCATCCCTTCTCAAGGGCCCTTGATCCGTTCTTACAGTCTCAGAAAGCCTTACGAAAACAACCATTGCAGTAACCATAAAGAGCTAAAGCCCTCCGGCGTCCTCGAGTAGAACCCCGAAGGCTTTGGAGGAGGGCGACATGTCCAAGTACACCAGCGGTTTTGACTACAAGGGCAGGATGTGCGGCCACGACATCTGCGACAACGGAGAAGTTTGTGGACGCTTCATCTACTTCTGCTCGAAGCTTGGGGAGAGTGGAATCGACACCTTTCATCCAATCTGCATAGACAGCTGCCCCACCTCCAACCTGACGTCGCATCTCTGCTATGACGAAGCCTCGATGGGCCCACTGCTTGTGCAGGACTGGCCTACCAAAGAGTATGGCGTGAAGTGCCTGCAACGGTCCCATCGCGTCTAGGCCCCTATTATTGGTCATACTTTTCAAAATCATCTAGTCTACAGTATGGTCTTCGTTCCGAAGGGAACGGGAAGCATGAGTCTTGGCGAGCCGCCGAGGTTTGCGGGAGGACCAGGAGCACTTGCGCAAGCGATTGGCAGGGGATATGACCCGCTTCAAGAACGCCGCTCACACCCCGGGAACCTGGGTTCTTAACTCAGGAACATAACTTCAGCTATCACACATAGCCCATGTAGTTACGATAATAGGGTTAAATAGCATATGCATCCATATGCTGAATAGCACAGGAATCCATATGCTATCCTTATTTTGGTAGGTTCTAGAAATGAACTTCCTTTATATGATCCCAGGAATGGTGCTTGACTGCGTCGCCTCCATTGCGATGGCCCGATGGCACCTCCTCATCGTCGCCTTTGTGTCGATCGCCGCTGGCCTCATGTACATGCTCTTCTTATGGAGCTTCCTCGACTTCCTCATCCATGGCTCGGTAGTGCTAGTGATCCTCATGCCCACTGCCGCTTGGACCATGTCAAGGAGCTGAATTTCAGCAACAATCATGCAGTTTCCTTACTGTTTTGTGTGTCGAGGATGCTCCTCGACGCCGTAAAAACATAAATTCTGAAACCCTACAATCCCTACCACAACCCTGTTGAGGAAGCTTGTATTTGTAGAGGCTTGGCCTAAACTTCGTGGTGCCTCAAGAGCACCGTCATATACAAGAACCCAAAAAACCCGTTTCAAAACTATACGGAACCTCTATACAACCCTGATAGATACCCCTTAAGCACTTAGTCTGTTATTGATATACCCTCCAAAACCAGACCCTTGTGATTAAGGATTATATGTTATCATCCCCAAAGGAGAACCCCTGCAAGGACCCACCCTCCTTGAAAGAAAAGCTAAGTCAATCCTCAAAGGACCCCCTGGACAGACCTAAACGGCAAACTCCACAACCGAAGCTCAAACCCGCAAATCCCAAGCCCAAAACCAAAACCCTAAAACCCAAAAACACGAAACCCCCAAAGCCCCAAAACCTAAGCCGTAGACCCGAAAGCCCTGAAACCCTAAACAAGGCCTTTTACCTATACCCTAAACCCGAAAACCCTAAACACTAAAACCCTAAACCCTAAACCCTAAATCCCTAAATCCCTAAATCCTAAACCCTAAATCCCCAAATCCCCAAAACGCTGCAGGCCTTCGGTGTCTGGAACCTCTTCGTCTTCCACAACGCCGGAGGGATCGGGGCAGCCGTCAGAGGAGATTCGCAAGCCCAGGAGCGGCTTTAGGGGGTTTAGGCTTAGAGGGCTTAGGGCTTTAGGGCGTGTGGGTTTAGAGTTTAGGGTTATGTGGTTTAGGGCTTTGGGGGTTTAGGGCTTTTGGGGTTATAGGGTTTAGGGTTTAGTGTTTAGAGGTAGGGCTTCTTTCAGGATGAGGGTTTATGTTTTTGGGGTTTAGGGTTCAGGATTAAGGCTTTAGGGTTCAGGTTTTAGGGTGTAGGTCCAGGTTTTAGATTTTAGGTTCTAGGAGTCACGGTTTTAGGGTTTAGGGTTTTCAGCGGTCAGGATTTTGAGGAAGTTTCTATAACGGTTCTCGTCAGAATTTCAGGAAAGAGGGTTGCTAAACCCTAAACCCTAAACCCTAAATCCTAAAGCCCTCAAGCCCTAAGCCCTAAACCCCAAACTCTACGTAAGCCCTAAATGCTAAACCCCAAACCCTAAACTCTAAACCGGAAACCCTAAACTCTAAACCCTATAAGCCCTAAAGCCCTAAACCCTAAACCGTCTAGAGGGCCTCCGAGGAGTTGGGGTTTCCGGGTTTCTGGGTCAGGGTTGAAGATCCGGGCTTTAGGGTTTGGGGGTTAAGGGTTGTGGTTTAGGGGTTTAGGGCTTAGGGCTTAAGGGCTCTAGGGCTTGAGGGTTTACGGTTTAGGGGTTCAGGGTTTAAGGGCTTTAGGGCTTGAGGGCTTTGGGTTTACGGGTTTAGGGTTTAGGGCTTTAGGGCTTGAGGGTTTGAGGGTTTAGGGTTTGGGGCATTGGGGTTTAGGGTTAGGGATGGGGTGGGGTTTAGGGTTTTGGGCTTAGGGTTTAAGGGCTTTACGGCTTTTACGGTTTTGGGGTTCAGGGCTTTCGGGTTGAAGCTTTGAGGTTTCGGGGTGCAAGCTCTAGGATTGAAGCCAGCGCAACTGCTTGAAGAGCTTATTGGTATCTGTTGAAGGGTTCTCCCAGGGTCTAGAAGCAGCCTAAACCCACCCTGAATCCGTAGACGAATAAAGCCATGAAGGACCCCTAAACCTTAAGCCTTCAACCCTTAATTAACCCCAAACCTTAAACTCTTAAACCCTAAACCCTGCGCATTAAACCCCCGAAAAACCCCCTAGAGCCCTCAACCCTAACTCCGTCGTCTCCCAACAAGGAGGCCTTGTGGATGGGCTCAGCAGGTGGGGCGTGGGTTCTCTGAATTGGGCTTTTCTAAGAAAGGCTCCTGTAGGTTCCTGATTATAGGGTTAGGGTAGGGTAACCGGCTTTTTTTGAGTGCTTTTTTTTTGTTTTGCGGAAGCGCTTTGGCTTTTGCGGCCTGGGGTTTGGTTTTTGGGTCCAGGGTGTATGGGCGGGATTGACTCTAACGTAGAGAAACTACCCAGGCGTCGCCGTCGGCTTCTTTCTGTGGTGCGCCTTGAAACAGATTCTAAAGAAGCTCGACACTGCAGAGGGCTGCATCATTGCGACGACCGAATGCCTCTTTCAACTCCCATTTATCATGCTTGAGCCTGCTTTCAGCTTGATGGTTAAGTTGGCGGTGGTGCTCCCCCTCCTCCTGATCATGTTTGGCTATGCCTCAACTGGCGACATGAAGCTTACCGAGACTGCCCACGGGATACGTCGCCATTTGCAGCTGGACAAAGAGCAGATCTGTGTCATCCTCTACTGTCTCTTTATGATTGCATGGCTGGTCGAGCTGATCCACAACATGACGCAATACGTCCTTGTATACATTGCAGAGAAATGGTACTTCACCGAGTACGTCGGGGGTCGGAAGGCGGACGTTCCCGGCTTTTGCGTCGTGCTGGAAGCCACGTGCAACCTCTTCCGATACCACCTCGGGTCGGTGATCTTCGGGTCGCTTCAGAAGCTTAGTAGTTCAGGAAGCAACCTTTCGACTTTTTTATGAAATAGTTTCGGGCTTAGGGTTTGGGGTTTAGGGTTTTGGGGTTTAGGGTTTGGGGCTTTAGGGTTTAGGGGTCATGTCATCACTGGATCCTCAATAACACCGAGAGACATAGCGCCTGTAGATCTCGTGGGCAACTGGGCAACGCAGACCCCTTATAGAATCCTCGGAGCCCTTTTTCTCATAGGTATACTATACAAATACATGTTTAAAAGAACTGTGAATCTAGGATTAGTTTACCGCCAAAAAAACTTATTTCTCATGAGCGCTCAACCTATAGACCATAAAAAATACCATAAATCCCTGCAAGGAAGACTCTATTCAGAATTCCCAAAATCCTCGCGGATGGTATCTTCCCCTTCGGTTGCTTCTCTGTGCCGAAGCACAAGGATCGGGGGCCTGGAGTTATTAAGTATATTGACTTCTAATAGGGAACCCTAAGGCATACTGTTGGGAGTTGTTTTTGTCCTTGGAGGAGGATTAATTAAGGATCCTTCATATAAAGGGCCCTTACTTGTCGATGCCCCACCTACCGTGAGCCCACCCTTCAAGCCTGTGGAATGAAAGGATTCCAACAGACGGTGTAGCGTCGCTTGGTCAATGTTAGTTTAGGGCGGTTCAGGGTTTTCGGGTTCAGGTCTAAAGTTTAGGACTAAAGCTTGGCACCCAGTTGTGCCTCCAGACGATTGTAAGGGTTGGAACAGTGGTGTACCCTTAAGGGGCTTGTTCCCTTTTAGGTTTTCAGGGCTTTGGGACCTTAGTGTTTGGTTTGTTGGAGTGGAGTTTGACATGCAGGGATCCGTTTTACTTTTGGTCCTGGCTTGACTGTCCTGAAAGCGAGCCCTCCAAACCCTCGACCCGAAACGCTTCAGAATCCCCGCTAAAATCTCTGAACTGACTTAACCCTAAACCCTAAACCCCTAAACCCCTAAACCCTAAACCCTAATCAAAACCCTAAACCTTAAACCCTAAACCCCTAAAGCCCTAAACCACTAAAGCCCTCAACCCCTAAACCCTAAACCGCCTTAAACCCCAAAAGGCCCACCCTGAGCCCTAAACTCAACACCCAAACCCCCGAGGTGTCTCTCATGCTCGCATTGCTGGGCAAGGAGGGCTACATGGACATGGCCATCACTTCTGCTGACTACTTGGAGGTTCATGGGTAGTTATAAGTGGGATTATAAGTCCCATAATATGGCTTATGAGTATAGTTACCCTACTTATAACCCCATTTATAACTACTCATGAACCTCCAAGTACTGTGAGGCCACCGAGCAGGTTTAGGGTTTGAGTTTAGGATTTTAGGAGGGCTTTGAGGGTTTAGGGTTTAGGGTTTTAAAAGTTTAGGGCTTAGGGCTTTAAAGGTTTAGGGTTTAGGGTTTGAAAGGTTTCGGGTTTAGGGTTTATCGGTTTAGAGCTTACGGTTTCGTAGTTTAGGGTTTAGTGACGCCACCGCCCAAAGCCCCACAGCCCACAAGATTCAGCCCCAAGGCAAAACACCAAGAGCCCACACCCCCGATGCAAGAAACCCTGCAGAACCATAGGATCCCGATACCCTAAACCCTAAACGCTAAGCCCCTAA